TTTACTGTAATGATGCACACATATATAAGGGCTTTTGCTGCAGATGAAAATAGTAACAAAAAGGTTAGATGTCCTGTGAGCAAGTCTGCTAGAAATATGCAGTTTAGTATAAAAGATTGTGACAGTTACAGGTTTTCACTAATGTAAGGCTTTCACAAAATACAGAGGATTGCATTAGTTACGTGAAATGTTATCCCACACTGACTAATGTCTAATCTGAAGCTGAAACTGCTGTGCATCTGTGGGCCACTTTGCCTGCTGCCACTGATGCCTGCTCTATTTGGGGCTGAGGGTCTTGCTGTTGCTCTTCTCCTTTCCATGTATGCACACAGAATGGCGAGGAGGTGGGATTTATGATGTAGGGGTTACGAGCTGTTCATGCCTCTCGCTTCTTCTCCCAGAGATGCACACTGCCACCTGAGGCGTGGTTTTACCACCACGCCGCACTGTTACCACAGTCAGAATTCCCTACACGTAGCTGGACCGATTGCTTTGATAAGGCATTTTCACATTCCACCAATCTCTGCGATTTTGCCAGAGTACATCATTTTATGCCGAAAGAGAAAGTGTTTGTCTGGCAATTTGAAGCAGTCTAACTGCTGAAAAGTAGGTTATTACGATTCATCAGATTCTGGCTTTCAGCTTCATACAGTTTGCTTTTAATAAATTCACTTTATTCTGCTGCTCTCAGCTCTCGGATTGTGAAAACAGCCAAATTGATGGATAAAAAATATCTTGGGAAAGCTGTTACTCTTGCTAAGGAATCCTGAAACCAATTTTTAAAAGCTAAGTCAAGGCACCAGTTTTGAATGTTATCAATCCAACATGGACTGGGCGGTTAAGGTCAGCAGTGACTACCACACAATGTGAACCTGACATCTGTAGAGAGCTTTCAAACTAGAACAGGTAGCTAACTGAATCAAAACAAAGTGTTGGTATCTGTCAGAAATGAGTTAAATTGATTTATGTGGATGCTCTGAGTAAATAAATTATATTGACTTTGGTGCTGTAGTGATGCCAATAAGTCAACACTTAGAGTACTGATTGGGATGAGAAGGCAGTTATTTTATTTTATTATTAAACTATCTTTCTATCCCCCTCTCCCTGTCGGTGTGTTTATGGTGTTTGAGTGTGTGCAAGTTAACCACGCCTTGTGTTTCAGGGGCGGGTCCATCGTTTTCCCGCTCTTCAGCTCCCACACCTGGGATGACTCAGCTGCTCTCTACCTAAGGTGGAGGATTTGATTGTTGATTGTTGAATTGCAAACAGTTAGTGGAATTGTCTCTTATGAATTCTCATGTTTGTCTGATTTGGCTTTTGTTCTCCTGTTCCTTCCTGTACATGAAACCTGGACCATGTAAGCGAGTTACTCTGAGAGAGGGTATTCTCGTGGAGAGGAGTTGTGGCTTTGTCTCCATTAGAGATCTTTAATTGTCTTCTTTTTTCCTCACTGTAAATAAACACAGTGAACTATATATTAGTTCTCCATTGAGTCCAAATCGGACACGACAGGAAGACCTGTCTTTTACGCTGAAACACTCTGGAATAATTCTTTGGTTACTTTAACACTCTGATCCTTTTCCCCCCCTCTTTGCTTTGTTTTTGTGTCTTGTCATCTATTTTTTTTTTCAGTTTGTTCCATACTTTGGTCTTCCTCTGTTGTTTTTCAATTTGCTTATGAATAAATTAACTTGACTAATGGCAAAAGAGACCAATCTGACAGCAAAATATGTTATAAACATGAGTAGTAGTAAATCTGGCAAATATTTCATACACACTCAAACCACTGTGACGGTAGTTTGAATGTATATGAAAGACATAAAGTCCATCTATCTTCTTCTGCTTATCCACTTTAGGGTCGTAGAGGAACTGGAGCCTGTCCCAGCTGCTATAGAGTGAGAAGTGGGGCACACACACTGGGCAGGTCGGCAGTCTGTTACGAGGCTAATGGAGAGCACCATTCATACTCGCATTCACACCTATGGGCAATTTGAAATAGCCAGTTAACCTGACCCTAGTAGCTGCATGTAGGAGTTGGAGTACACAACAGTATACAGGGATATTACACAAAACTACAAATATCAATAAGGAAGGGGACAAGAAACATGTGAAAGTAATCAAGAGAACAGAATAAATAGGAAGTAAATCCCATAATACACTATCAAGGGGAACAGGAAACAATCCAAAAGACATATTACTGAATACAAAGTTGAACAAAAGACTGAGACAAAGAGACTCTGGAGGGAGGACAAGGGAAAAAATACAGAAAGACGAGACAGTGAAGGGAAAACACAGGGACTTAATTCAAAGACAGCACCAGAACTGTAAACCATCTAAATCCGCATCCAAAACTCTAAAAAAAACAAACAAACCTATAACTAGAGCTTAACTACAACAAGAATAAATGCTTAAAATTACTCAAATTATAATTGAATTAATGCAAAACCTCAACCTAACAATAATAAAAATCTTAAGGCTCTCAAAAAGCAGTGAAACCAAACACATCACCATGAGTGCGAAAGATAAAAAGAAATTTAACTTAAGAGTGAAAGTTTTTAAGTAGTCCATCTTGAGCTTTAAGGAAACAAGAAAAAAATATATCTGGCTTCAAAGTCAGATTTTCAGTCAGTTTGAAGGAATGAATGAATAATAATGAAGAAATATGTGATGTGTAAATGTGGATGTTGGAGACTTTTTTATATAAGGACTGTGCAGCATGGCATTAAATAGAGACCTCACATCTAAAAGCTTCTTTCAGGACACAGAGACACGCACACACAGTAATGCTGTGAACTGTCATCTGGAGTGCAACAGTGGTAGATTGGGAGGGAAGCAATTTAAGACCAAAACACCTGAAGGGAAATATACCTCCACACACACACGTAGACACACACATACTCGCACATACACACATACCCCTTCTCTCTGAGCTTCGATGCCTAGCTCCATGTGGTTGGCATGGAAACAGAAAAACTCCCCCCAGATGAAAATGAGATGCCCCCAATACGATTCACGTGGGAGCACAATGGGAACATTAAGATGAGGAATTATAGGAATAACATCCAACATGCTAATGCCTTTGATAGGTCTTCATTGTCAGTCTTCACATGAGGAGATTTAAATCAGTCCACATGTTAGACCCCACCGAAAAACAATGATTATTCCACATGTGTCAGAGCTTATTGTTGCTATTTTAGTATCTAAATTCTTTTGTAAACCCACAACAGAGTGAAAAGAGTAGAAATCTCACCCTGAGGCAAAGTATCGTCTGAGTCATACGTGTTAATCACCCCCATCAGCCCCCACAGACTGCAGTCATTTAGAGCTGAAGGGCAGCAAAAGTCTTACTCATAGCATCCTTCAAACTCCCAGGCAGACCAAAAATAGCTGACAATTTTGGGAGTCTGCATGGCAACACAAAACATACTTCTGGTATATGTGCAAAGTTCCCAGGGAAAGGGTTTTATACATACATACATACATACATATATCTATATATCTATATATCTATATATCTATATATCTATATCTATATCTATATCTATATCTATATATATATATATAAAATTCCCAAGACTTTGCTCCGAACTCTCTGGTGATAGGGATAAAAGCAGATTTTAAAATGAACTTCTGTTACTAGAAGATTCACGCTGATGCTTACCTATAAATGTGGGTGAAAGGTTTCAGCTGATCACAGTAACAAGTTGTTAAGGGCCTCTTATTGTGAGGTGCTACAGCAGATGAACAGTATCTGAAGTGTCAAAAATAAGTAGCTGCAGTAAAAGCAAACCTGTAATAGTCTTCAGGAGAACTATTCCTGAAGACTATTGAAAGAAATTACAGGAGCGCTTTGCTAAGACAGTTCAAGCTGTGTTGTTTGGCGGCTCAAGACTTCTGCGTTGTATATTGCTATGTTGAGCCCCAAATCTACCCATAAGTTATAATAGAACCACAGTACAGTAATTTCTTTGGGAAAAGCAATGGTAGAGGGAGATTTAAATATATCTAAATATATAATTTAGATATATTTAGTCATTTTCTCACCAATTTTTCACGCTTTTTTTTCTCCAAAATTTGCCACTTTAATGTAAAAAAAAAAAGTTATTTTTTCATGGACTTTTTATTTTATTTATTTTATTTTTTTTGCTTTATCTGAGCACATACGTGTGTGTATTTACATATATATTCATATTTGTAAATGCAAGTATGTGTACTTGTGTATATATTGTTTTTTTTCTGTATATGTCTGAAATAAATAAAGATACAATACAATACAATACAATACCCACCAACGCCGTGCCCCTTAATTGTTTTAATACGTTGTTGTGAGTATATGTCTTAAACTGTAGTTTAAAATACTATTGGTAAAAGTATTTGGTCTACCACTAGGTGACAGTGTTTCACTAGGTGAAAGTGTTAGTGTGCTTGCCCTTAGTGGGAAACAAGAAAACTGCTTACTTGTTGGGTCCTGTTGTGGAGTTTGTGTTGTTCTCTCACAGTCCAGAAACATGTTCATAAAGTCTGATGGAAATAAATCAGCCTTCGGTATGAGTCTAAACACCTCTCTGTCTTTCTTTGTGATGGACTGGTAACCTGTGACAGCAGGGAAATGTAAACTATTTAAAAGCAAACAAACCCAATTTTATACACTTAGCTTTTCTACTGCATTATGTCTAAATTTTTAATACGCGTTCCACTAACTCTCAAGAGTCGGGATTTAACAGAAGTCCGTGAACGCCGCATGAACTCTCGGCGGTCCCTTTGAAGTGCAGTTTGTGGCTGGAGCTGAAGCTGCCCTCGGAGGTAACTATTAGCCTATGTTAAAAAATGTTTCTGTATAATGATATTATAATTTTCAGGCTGTAGCGCCCTCCCTAATAGTTTACCTACAAAATTGACTTTTAAAACCTCGACTTTCAGTCTGTTCTTCTGATAATTCACCACGGGTTTTTTCCCCTTCTTAACCTGGGATTAGGCTAAAGCTCCCAACCCCACCCGCCGCCACCTTGAACTGGAAAAAAGGTGAGTGAACATCCATTACCCTGTAATATAGTCATTTTAACTCGTGTTGCTAATCCCCAGATTCAGTTACACTGATCGCTACAATGTTACACACTCCACTTGTACTTAGAATCTTCAAATAAAAGTAAAGATAGCATATCCTTGCTTGGTCTTACAACCATTAAACAGTTTAGTTTGAAACGTCAGTAGTAACCAGTTATATAGGAGCATACTGATTTAGGCACCATAATTTATAATAGGGTACAGAAAGGGGAAGAAACGTGTGGAGAAGCACACGAAATGCTTCCATTCAATACGGTTTCAGTCGCTGATTCGTATCATTCCCCTCACCTGTTAGGATGGAGTGAAGTGTTAAAGGCAGGCTAGAGGATGTGAGTGAAGTTGCCCCCCCCACCTTCTTCAAATCCAACAAAAGTAGTATCAAACGTCTGTGCTGCAAAATTTTTCGTTTGTGCTGCTATCATTTTAAAGATATTAATAAAAAATTTCTAGAGGTCATCAGAGGTCAACCAGCCCAAATGTAATGTTCATCTAGACATTTTCAGAGAAGAAGTCGCTTGGATGAGTGACGAAACGTTTCTCCCACTGAAAATGTCCAGATGAACAGAATCAACCTTTTGGGATTTATTTACCTGGATGATTAAGCACGCATCAAGACGTTATTTTATTAATATTTTTAAAATGATAGCGGCACACACGAAAATTTTTGAAGCACAAACCAGCACAAACGTTTGACATGAATTTTGGGTAATGTGGGGGGGCTGGTTGACCTTTTGACCTTTACATTTTCATTAATATCTTTAAAAAAGAAGCAGCACAAACAACAATTTTAGCAGCACAAACGTAGCACAGTTGATTGACACCCATTTTGTTTGATTTAATTAATGTGGGGGGGCTGGTTGACCTCTGAAGACCTCTAGAAATTTTTATTAATATCTTTAAAATGATAGCAGCACAAACAAAAATGTTTGCAGCACAAACCAGCACAAACGTTTGATACCACTTTGTTGGATTTGAAGAAGGTGGGGGGGCAACTTCCCTCACATAGGCAGAGGTGGCAAAAGTATACACATTATGTACTTAAATAAAAGCGCTGAAAAAGGTACAGATTCAAATTCTTTACTCAAGTAAAAGTGAAAAAGTACAGGTTCTGAAATGTACTCAAAGTAAGAAAGAGATAAGATGAGATGAGACTTTATTGATCCCACAACGGGGAAATTTTTGCGTCACCTCAGCTCAGGTACAGATATCAGAAGGAAATACAAAAATACAAATAAGTACAATCAATGAAAAAAAGTAAGATAATACACTATATACAATGGTAGCATACACAGTATGTGATTATGGATATGGTTGAAAATATGCAAGACATAAACTATATAGCTTGACATAACTATTGTACCACTACTATTCCTATGTATAGACATGTACACACTAAATATACATATGTGTACATATACATACACATACCTGCACATGTCCGTACACATGGAAGGTCCATTATGCATGAAGTGGTGACCGTGGATGTTCACAGTGTCCAGTGACTTATGACATCGTGATTGAGGAGTTATAGAGTCTAACTGCTGTTGGGATGAATGATCTGCGAAAGCGCTCCTTCCTGCAGCGAGGGTGTTTCAGTCTCTGACTAAAGGAGCTGCTCAGCCCACTCACATACTGATGCAGTGGGTGATGTGGGTTGTTCATGATGGATGTCAGCTTTACTAACATCCTCCTCTCGCCAACCACCTCCACAGTCTCCAGGGGACATCCCAGCACGGAGCTAGACCTCCGCACCAGTTTGTCAATCCTGCTCCTGTCCCTGTCCGTGCATCCACTCCCCCAGCAGGCCACTGCATAGAAAAGGGCAGATGCTACCACAGTGTC